TGGCGGTGTCTCCAGCCAAAAGAAGATCATGTAATGTTATAGAATTCTCTCTCCTTCATTCGATGGTGGACATCAGTGTGAGGTCAGGAACTTTATCTGTCTTTGAATCCACTGTCATTCCTGTCACAGCATAAGGAATCAACAGTGGCTTGTTGGTTAACGGAAAGAGCAAGTGAACAAATGATGAAGTCTCTCACCATCTTTTAAGACGAGATTGAGAAACGTGTACAAGAAAATAATACAGGCAGGCAGATCCGTAGCATTTGAGCGTCATGATGAATGAATGGATGGATGTTACCCCTGAACGAAGAAACCCAGGTACCAGAGCCAAGGCTCTCTGCCTTTCAACATCGTCATCCGCAGCCGGACAAAAGGGGGAGACGGGATTATGACAGGTGGAGATAAGAGCAGGCGGCCCACCCCTGACCAGGGTCCCCCCCGAGCAGGGTATCCCAAGAGCCCAGCCACACACCCCCTGGGCATCCAGGCCCCAGTGAGAACCAAGGACCAGGGTAGTGCACAGATGCTAACAGAAAAGTGGAAAGCTTTGACAACCATTTATTTCAAAAAATCCTGGTGACTTTGATCCCAAGCTCAGTGCGAGGTAACCACGTGACGAGGATTCTTAACACTGGGAAACAGTTTTTGAATCTGATCTTCCTCCAGCCTTACATGTTCCTTACCTCAGAGGTTGCAGTCAAGAAATGTATTGGAAACTCAAAAAAGGAAAAGAAGAGAAAGAAAAAGACATATGGGAAAGATAAAGGAGGTCTACAAAGTTTAATCTGTCATAGCCAAAACCACAGTCTTAATATCCCACCAAAGAAAGAGGGGCTGAATTGAATGAACTGTGGCTGGAGGAATCCATGCAGTCCTGGGCAGCCTTTAAAAGATATGGGAAAACGTGGCTGATGGAATGAGCTAGTCTAGCTCTCTCCTCTCAAAACCCCAATAAAATGAATAAAAAGCATTAGTCCACGACAGCAAAGAGAAGGGGAGAAGGAACAAGGACGGTTGTCAGTAGACACTTGGAACTAGAATGAGTTGATGGTGCTAAATTCCTGGCAGAGCAGAAGCTGAGAGGTGCAGGCCGGGTGGAGAGGCCATCGGAAGAGGCCCGGCCTCCACGAGGCTCAGGACAGTGGGTGCGAGTCCTCTGCACAGCAGTGGGCAGGAGAGCTGCTGACCAAGGACGGGCTGTCTGGCTGGGAAGCAGCAAGGCCTCCAGGCCCCACCCTGCCATGGGCAGCCGCAGGTCTGCCCATGAACTCCAGGCAAGAAAGAAGGAGAGAGACTGACTCTAGGACGTCAGGGAGCCCTGAAGCCCAGCGCTACATGAGAGCCCAGGCCTTCCCACTGGACCCTACTCTGCAAGGCCAGCTGCCACCTGCAGGCAGGAGGTTGGAAGAGAGGATCCTACCAATATGGATATTTGGGGGTCCCCCAGTGAGCTCACCAGATCTCTTCCCAGGTGCCCACACGGAATCCCATGAGTGTCCACAGACCCTGTCCACAGAAACACACTTAATTAGGATCAGTTGGCCAAGCATCACCAGAAACTGAGGCAAGGTCAGGATGTGACGGACAAGAGGCCAGGACAAAGAGAGAAAAAAGGAACTTGGAGAAAATGTGTGTATAACAAAAGAAAATGGAAATAAAGACACTTCCTACTGAGTTATAGTTGATTTACAATGTTGTGTTAGTTCAGGTGTACGGCAAAGTGATTCAGTTATATATATTTTTTCCAGATTCTTTTCCCATGTAAGTTATTACAAAATATTGAGTATAGTTCCCTTGTTGTTTATCTATTTTATATATAGTAGTGTGTGTACGTTACTCCCAAATTCCTACTTTATCCCTCCCCACCACCTTTCCCCTTTGGTAACTGTAAGTTTCTTTTCTATGTCTGTGAGTCTATTTCTGTTTCGTAAATAAGTTCATTTGTATCATTTTCTTAGATTCCACATATAAGCAATATCATATGATATTTGTCTTTCTCTAACTTACTTCACTTAGTATGACAATCCCTAGGTCCATCCACGTTGCTGCAAATGGCATTATTTCATTCTTTTTTACGGCTGAGTAGAAAGACATATTTTTAAAGATATAAATTAGCCTCAGAGAGAAAAGAGAAGAGAATGTATCCAGGAAACATACATGAAGCTATTTCAAAAAATATATAACAAGAAAGAGCACTTGGAAATTAAAAATATAGTAACTGAAAATTTAAAAGCCAGAAGAGTTGGATAATGAAATAAAGGGCATTTCTAAGAAAGGAGGGAAAAATGTTAATTAGTCAAGAATATTCAAATATGACACAAATGAACCCATCTATGAAACAGAAACAGACGCAAAGACATAGAGAACAGACTTGTGGTTGCCAAGGGGATGGGCAGGGAGAGGGGTGGCCTGGGAGTTTGGGATTAGCAGATGCAAACTAGTATATATAGGATGGATAAACAAAAAGGTCCTACTGTATAGCACGAGGAAATATATTCAGTATCCTCTGATAAGCCATAATGGAAAAAGCACATAAAAAAGAATGTATATATAACTGAATCACTTTGCTGTCCAGCAGAAATTAACACATTGTAAATCAACTGTATTTCAATTAAAACAAAGACTATTGAAGAAAAATTAGAAAACTGATTTAGAATTTGCAGCGTTCAACTAATTGGAATCCAGAAAGAAAGGAGAAAAGAGAAGGAAGAAAAAAATCTTTGAGGAAGAGTACTAGAACATTCTGCAGAATCGCAGGATGTAAAGATGGCCGGGGTCCGTGGATGACCCAGCAGAGGGTGAAAGCAGCCTCACCCAGGGCATGGCAGGATGGTCCAGGGCTCAAGGAGTGAGAAGAAGCTCAAGCCTGTGGAAGGAAGGAAGACAGCCAGCCAGCCTGGGGTTGGGATGGGGGCGGGTGTCCCCACTGCAGGGTTGCAGGCTGGAAGACAGTGGAGTGAGAGCCGAGCATCCTGAGAGAGCTTTCCGGTGTAGACCTCACAGGTACCATGCTGACTGCTCAGTGTACGAGAACACGAACATTTTTAGGTTTTCAAGATCTCAGAATTTTACCCCATACGCATCCTGTCTCAGAAAGCTGGTAGAAAGTGCGCCCCTAAAATGAAGAAGTGGATTTTAAAAAGGCGTAGGACCCAGGAAGCAAAGGATAAAAAATCTGGGCAAAGGAATTTCCAGGAAACTCAGTGAGAAGGAAAAGTGAGAAGACACATCAGTTATCAAGCTCACAGCAAACGAAAGTTCACCTAGGAAGAAAATGTCGTCAACATACGCATAGGTCTCGGCCGCAGAAAGTTGCTCTTGAAGACAATTTCTGTTTTCATAATTATAATATCTATTATAACTATATGGATAACTAAATAGTGAATGTTAGTTTGAATATTGTGCTCTAACTTTTTTTCAAAGACTGGGGAGGAAAAGTATGTGTGGGGTCGTGTGTCTGTGTGTGTGCCTGCGTCTCAAAGAACTTCTGGAGTAGGAAGCCAAAATCTAACATGGGAAAAGTCAAGAAACAGCAGAATAAGCTCTTTATGTAGAAAAACGGAGTAAATGCTAGACGAAAAGTAGTTTGAAGTGGCTGCTGTTGGAGTGGGCTAGGAGCTGTGGGTTTGACTCTAAGCCTTGTGGAACTGTTTGCCTTTTCTTGTCCATGTTTTTCATAAAACATGGAATTTTAAAGGTATAGGAGGTGGTTATAATGTATTGTGGTAGAAGGATAGAAAAAATATGACTTCTAAAAGGAAACAGAAAGACCAGGAAAAATGTATGCCAATTGTTAGGAGTTAACCAAGTGTCAAGGGATTTTTTTTCTTCCTTTTATAATAAAAAAAATATTGCAATAGATATGTATTACTGATGAAGTTGTAAAAGACCTTTTACACACACACACACACACACACACACACACACACACCCCACCAGGTCCGGCCCAGCAGAGGAGGTTCCCCTCCTTGGGAGGAGGAGACACGCTCTCCATCCACTGTGAACCTGAGCTGATAAACCGAGGAGCTCCAAGAGAAGGACTCGAGGCCCAGCAGGTGGTATTGGCAGCACCCCTCCCAGGACAAGCGCTTGAAGGACCAGGGCCTCCTTGGGCTTGGAGGTCCGAGGCTGCTGTAAGCCCCCCAGGGCAGGAACCAAGCGCAGGCATCTTGCCGGCCCTTGCACATCCTCTGCAGGTGGCGCAGTGCTCTTTCCATGCAGTCCCATCGGAGGGTGGAGGCAGGAAAGCTTCGTCTGTAGTGCAGAGGAGAGGAACAGTTTGCGCTCTTTCGGGAACAGAGACCTGGAATCAGTGAATCCAGCCTTGCAGACAGAACGGATTTCCCCTTCAACAGTGAGACCTGCTCGATCCTAACAAGCCGCCGTTAGAAGCTGTGCATCTGTCACTGTTGAGTCTCCCAGAGGAGCTGGGTTTCCGTGCTGGGTGGGAGCGTGGTGTCCCATATGCCCGCGTCCCGTGGGCTGGCAAATCCATTGCGGTTCTGGGTGCGGGGCGGTCGGCCTGTGGACAATTGCTACCCTGGCTGAAGGGGCAGGAGAGCGAGAGAAAGGCCAAGGGTAAGGCCAGAGATGCCCTCTGTCCTTCCTCTGCAGGGGCCCTTGGTAAAGCTTCCAGAAGGAATAGTTCTTCTTTGCATTTAAGTGAGAGCTCAGGATCCCCTTTCTCATAGTTATGCTGAGGAGAGATTTCCAAGTCTTCTGATTTGCCTGGAGCCCCTAGGAAATACGGGGCAGAGCCCCCGCCCCCTGCCACCTAGGGGTCTTGGGGGGCATCTCTGAGCATCCCCGGACCCCCTCAGGGCCACTCCCGGGCAACCAGCAAACCCTCACACCCATATGTCTCCATCACCTGCCCAGGAGCCCCAGAAAGGGGACCGGCAACCTGCCAGCCCTCCTCGGGGTACCCGTCACGCCGGCCAGCTCCCTCACGTGCACAGCCACCCTCACGCTGACTGTTTGTCCTCCCTTGTGCTTCGCAGGTGTCTCTGGGGTCACAGATGGACTTACAGAAGAAGAAGAGGCGTGCACCAGCTCCCCCTGCACCCCAGCCCCCGCCGTCCAGCCCGCTGGTGCCCCCCCGCACGGAGGGCAGGGAGGAGGACAGGAAGGGCAGGACGGGTGAGTGATGGCGTCCGCGCGCCTCTGGGTGCTTGGCCTGCATCTCAGCGCTGCTTCTCACCCCTGCCCTGGCTTCCTCCGCGATGGCATTAACTCGGAAAGCATTTAGGCTAAAGAAAGAAAGTCTGGAAATGAACGGCTGTGAGTCAAGGGCATCCTACAGGCATAGTTTCTGGGGGTGGCGCGGGCGTTGAGAAGGTGGGGAAGGCGTGCTGGTCAAGAGGCTCGGGAGAGTGCGAGTGATGGAGAGCTGGTGAGTGTGGCTGGGGGACGGCGCCTCCCTGACCGAAGGGGGTGAGTCCCAGGATGGCGCCCACGGATGCTGGTGTGGAAGACGTCTCGACCGCAGGGCGTTTATACAATAGGTCATGTGACAACAGTTCAGTCATCTTTTGAGCACCCTGTTTGAAATTGATCTCCACTTATAGAGCTTTCCTATATGGTATTCTTTGAGAAAAAGAGAAACCAGAGTAAAGAGGGTGCAATCCTGGTGTCTGTGAGCAGAGACATATTCGACCATGACACCTAGTCCCTCATGTTACAAGGGAGAGAAGAGATGGGGGTCTCTAGGTCCACCAGCCAGGGATGGCCGATTTTGTTCTAAAATCATTCAGTGTTTGTTGTTTCATTTATGTAGGGACTGAGATAAGCCCCTGACACAAGTGCTTCAGTCATCACAGGAGTGCCATTCAGTCTCCCGGGCAGCCTCACATTTTGCCGTTGATCTCATGGCTGCAGCCCCCAAAGGGAAAAGACGCCCAGGGAGAAGTGGTCGCACTGTTGCTCCCTAAACCTTTCATAAGAGCTCCTTTGCTGTTGGTCAGCATTTTCCCCCGGCCAATACCTCGATTTTAACGTCTTAGCATTTCACAGACTGGGAATCGATTTTGCTAAGGAGATACAGCCAGTATTTCATGTCAGTCCATCATCGTTCCCAAAGGAGAAACTATCTGATTTGAAGGAAATGTGATCAGAAGCTCCTTCAAATAAACCTGGTTTTCTTTTTTTTTTTTTTTCCATAATGAGACTCCCATTCCACCTTCCAAGCTTTCTCCCCACTCTTTTCATAAATGGATGAAGAACTCAGATTAAGAGTCCTTGTTGAAATTCTAAGATGCGTCCATGGTTAGGGTAGTGTAGATGTGGTGAATCCTGCCAACCTCCAGGCCAGACAGCCCATTTTAACCCCTGGAAGGACCTCCCGATTCAGCCTTGAAGGACCAAGGTCTGTGCGCAACGAGTTTGGAGAGCCTGGCCTGGGGGTGGGCAGCTGGTACTCACAGGGGTCTCAGAAAAAGAGAGAAGGGCATTTTAAAGTGAAAATGGTAGGGACAGTTCCCTCTCTAAGGAACATGCGCAAAGAGGAGGTAGGCATGGTAGTAACTGCTGTGGGTCTCTCTCTGGTCCATAGACTTCTGTTTTGTGGATTAAGGAGGAGGCCAGAAGCTCCCTTCCTCCCGTCAATAACTTTGAATATTTTTTGAGGTCAGCGGTCTTGGTGGCCATTTCAAAGCAGACTTCCATCCCCATCAGAAATCCCCATGAGTTAAAAGTACAGTAACGGCACTACAGCAGAACTTTTAACCAAAGTCTTGGCTTTAGGTTAAAAGATAATAATTTTGAAAAAGTAGCCCAAACCACAACAAAATACGCTGAGCTTCTTTGTGTATTCAGACAGCTGCAGATAGAAATTGAAAATGTTTTTGGAACTTGCACTAAAGCAGTATTGCAGCCGGCTGGATTTGGGTCCTGACCGAAATTTCTTGGTAAACAAAAGGAAGCCTTCCAGTAGAGAGGGTATTCTACCTGCCTTGCCCTTGGGGTTGCCTTGTCATGTCAGGTGCTTACCTGGGCCAAGCAAACCACACTCATTCAGACGCCTTGCCTTATGTGCACTTTGAGAGAGGAAATGATGTGTATATATGAGGAAATTAATATTTTTCCAAGTCTAAAGAACTATAAGCAAGAGAAGGAATAATGGATATATTTCTTGATGAAGAAATGATGTCTTAATATTTTTATTAATAGTCTGATGAAGGGCATGAAGTGTAGACTCTATTAGTTACTAGAAGATTCTAAACTTTAGAGCTTGAAGACAGTATTTTTTAAAGAAATAATCATGAGCACAGTTTATGACTAGTAACTCCTATCATTCGTTATATTGTCATTAACTTTCAAAAACTTTATTAGCAGAAGAAAACCATTTCTATAGAAAATGGTAAATAGGTTCCCAATGTGAACAGATCAAAGAGGGCTGCTCGGTTGGTCTGAGAGGTAGACTGGCCTGGGGGACATCCCCACCCTTTCTCCAGCCCAGGATCCTTTTCAAAACAAAAGTTTAAAAACTGTTACCGCAAACAATGGAAGAGGTTGATAGTATAAATGGGCTTAAAGAGGCAGAGCAAATTAGGGGTTATTGGATCTGTAATAGGTAATAATAGATGTAAGCAACAAGAATAAGCTAAAAAACCTGTGAACCTGAAAAAGACTAACGTGAAGAAAAAGAGTTCCTTTGAAGTTGACAGAGCTGTTTAGGGACCTCTTAATAATAATTTCAGCCTTTAAAAATACTTGTGCCTTTCAGAAACAAATGGCAGTACATTCAAATTAACCCAAGGATAGGACCCCACGTATGTAAAATGTTAACACTTTAGAGAGGTGGGATTTGCTGCTGGGTGTGTTTGGATTTGGTTCCAGGTGTGGCTGCATTTGGTGACGGGTGAGGTCGGATTTGATGTCAGGTGAGGTTGGGCTTAGTGCAGGTGTGTCTGCATCTGGAGCTGTGAGGCGCTCTTGGTGTGGCTGAGTGATGGTGACGTACCTTCCGTTGGAGACAGAGGGCCTCTGGGCTTAACCTTCTGAAGTAATCCCTGTTGATTCCACGTAGGTGTCGGACGGCAGGTGCCACAGAAGCCTCCCAGAGGCACTGCTCGGGGGCCCCCCCAGTTAGTGCTTCCCCCACCCCCACCCTACCCTCCTCCAGACGTGGCAGAGCCTCTCGGCTTTCCTGGGGAAGGCGCTGTTTCCGAGGCCTCGGACCTGAGACCCACACGTACGTGCCTCTCGTTTCGTCTGTGTCGACGCCTCACCTCTCTGGTCTCTGGTGTCGGCGCTGGGTTTCCAGACTTTCCATTCTTGCCTGGGGATGTGTGTGCCTCTTCCCTGCAGCTTTCCTCTCTCAACGCTCAACGCAGTGTGTCCAGCTAACAGTGAATGCACTCCGAATGCCAGGCAGGTACCCGTGAAGAATGATTTAACCCATTAATCATTCATGCTGTGGTTAGACTTAAGCCAGAATTGCATCGTGTGGGTGGAGACAGCAGCTAGGAGCAAATAAATGTCCCTCAAATTAGAACTGTCCTCGCAGTGCCCACAGGTGGCCCACTCAGCACAGCACAGCACAGCAGCGATGCGATCATATAGGCTGTATTGCTAAGCTCGCTCAGGCCAGCTGTGAATGCCAAGGCGGCTGTGCTCCAGAGCTGGGGGGACTTGATGGACTAGAATCTTTGAACCCTACAGCCAGTGGCCAAGCTCCCGCAGAAGGGGAGACTGAGGTACCAGAAGGGGAGACAGCTTAATTTGAGTCTAGCAACAGCCACAATTAAAGGCTCATTTTGTTTCTGTTTCTTGTCACACCCTGTCTGAGATCAGGCTTTCTTCGTTGTTTCCTGGGATTTCTTTTGGACTTTAATAAGCACCATGTATAGCATTCCCACCTCCAGTTGGATATTAGCTCTGTGTAGTTCACTGTACACACACACACACGCACACACACACAGGACATCGAGCCTGCGTGCGTCCCTCCATCAGGATGCCTGAGCTGTGCTGGGCTATTGCCTTATAAAGCAGGTACCATCCAGGACAGCATTTTCCCGATGGTGAAACGTCTCTATGCATTCAGCCTGGGGAACAGCTGGCGCCCACATGAGATATGCAGCCCTCTGGTTAGGAAGTCCATCCTTTTCCACCATCGAACCACTTGATCTTTTTCTGTCTTCTTTGGAAATGACAGCTAGCTCCCTGCCAGCTTCTGGGGAAAGAAGATAATCGTTGGATTACTTACCAACTTTCTCTAGGCAAAATAATCCTGATTCATTTGATCTCTTTTCACAAAGACTTCTTTTCCATCCTCAAAATCTGTTTGATCATCTTGACGTTGGACATGCTTCCGAATGCAAATGAAATTCGTAGGGGATTCAGAAATGGAGGATTAGACAGATGAGTCGGAAAGATGACACCGAGGCTTTAGACGGCTCTGGAGCTGTGTCGTCTCTGAAGAGAGTGGATTTGAAGCCCCACAGGCCAAGGCCGTGAGCTTTGAGTGGCCGCTCCCGTGGTCCTCACCGTGGACTGTCCCCCCTGGAGAGCCCGTAAGGGAGGAAGGGCTGACGGGAGAGGGTGGCCCTTGGCAGGGAAGAGAGGCCACAGCCCAGGAGCTCAGGGGGCCTAACAGGATGGGACAGCCAGGCCCACGGACTGCCCTACACTTGGCCTTATGTAAACCCTCAGACCCCAGCTTCCCCCGGGCCCCTGCCTGGGTCTGGGGGGACAGTGTGTGGCATCTGCTGGGGAGACCGAGGACAAGATTTAGCAGCTGCCTTTTTTTTTTTGGCTGCGCTGCACGCCATGCGGGATCTTAGTTCCCCAGCCAGGGATGGAACCCGCACCCCCTGCAGTGGAAGCTCAGAGTCCTAACCACTGGACCGCCAGGAAGGTCCTCAGCTTTTAAAGGCCTGCATCAGCCTGGAGAAGAAGAGCTTCCCCCTGGGTCTCTCCAGCGCTGAGGAAATACATTTCCATCCCTGCCCTTGGGAGCCTTTCCAACAAAGGGCTGCGTAGAGAATGAACAAGCCTCAGACAGAACAGGAGGCTCCCTGCCTTCTTGCCTGGAGGCTCCCGTCTCCTTCTCCTGTCCCGGGACAATTCTCTCCATGTCTTCCTCTCCCCACGTTCATGTCCGAGGACCTTCCCCTGCCCTGGACATAACTCACCTGCCCTCCTTCCCTCTCATCCCCTCTCACACACCCACAGGAACGCCAGGAAGAGAGCATAGAAGCACAGGGGGAACAGAGCGGGGCCCCGTGAGTGTTAGGACCACGGAGAGCCTGGCCCGGGCATAGCAGGACCCCTCCTGTCCCCTAGCCGTGTCCTCCTGACCACGTGTGCCCCAGGGGTTAACGCATCCAGCTTGGAGCTTTTATTTAGCAGGACCGTCCCGGACATTGTTTACAGCAGGAAAAACTAGGATCTCCTGCCCAGCCAGGCAGAAAGCAGTTCACCTGCTTTGATTCAGGTCTTTAAAAAAGTGAGGGAAAACGACTCCTTTGTTGTCATTTGTTTCACTTCTTACACCACGTTGAGATCTGGGTACTGCTCTCCCTTGTCTCTGGGGAGCTATGGACTGTCGGCATGTAGAGTGCCGGGTGTGATTTCCGCCCCTTGTGGGCGTGTGCATCTCACCTGCATGCCCATCGAACTTGCATCTGTTTGTAGCCATGGGAGCTCAGCAGGCACTTTCATCTGCCAGCCGTAAGCTCTTGTGTGTCTCCTCGTGTGTTCAGCCGCAGTTAGACCTGTGTTCTCTGTCTAAGAAACGATGTGTTAGTGGTGGAAATCAGACCTGAGTCCCTGGAGGCCGGGCGAGTTCTCACTGCACCCTCTCTGGGGAGACGCTGAGCCAGAAACAGCTGCATCACTGGCCCCTGGTCTCACTGCGGAATGCGTCCGGCAGGAATCGACATTATGGCGTCTTTGACCTTCAGCCTCTGCCTGCCCCCAGCCCGAACGTTCCTCCCACTATGCCAGAGACTGCCACTGGGCACCTTTGGCTGTGCGCCTTCTTTGTGATTTGTACCACAGGTGGCATGTCCCACTTAGGTCACTACAAAGAGGTAAGATACATTGTCTTGAAAACCAGTCAGCACAGCCAAAGATAAGATGGAAAGACTTAGGTAGCAGTGAATTAATAGTAACTGGATTTGTACGCAGATGTGAGAAGGTGGCAAAGAAGACATGAAACAGGTCCTCATACCACACCTCCTATTTTGATCTCTCCCATTCCAGAATCTTCTGTTCCAGCCATCCCCCTGTCCCTGAGCCTTGCCTCTGCAGAATCTTGGTTCCCGTCCTGGTGGCTCTGCTGGTGTTCCCGTTACGGCTTCCAACCCTCCTTTCTGTCCCCGGCCTTCTGCCAGCTGACCTGGGCACCAGGTGGGCCCCAAGCCCTGACCCAAGGACAAGTCCTCTTTCCTATTTTTATGCTTTAAGGGTTAGCAGCGCTTGACTCGTGGCCATTAGGACCATGTTGACCTGGAACAGAAGCAAACAGGAGGAGACTTGTGTTCCAGGTCAGTGCCACATCTATCTGCATCTCCTGAGCTCTTTTTGAACCAATGTACAGTTTGTAGTCGGAAGAGGTAGAATGACCATCCCCTCGTGCATCTGCTCAGCTCCAAGAGGCCACCTTCCACGGCCAGCCCTTGCGCCAGATCTGGGGGGACCCAGCCTGGATGTCAGATTGATGTGATCTCCACATACTCTCGCACAGTCAGGGGCGGGGGTCTCTGTGCTCACCCTGCTCCAGCCTAGGGGCCCTTTGGTCTTTGGCATGGCTACCCCTCCCTCCTGTTGTCCTCTAGGTGTTCATCCACTTCTCACCGTACTCGTTACACAGGCCTGTGTGTGCTACCCCACTAGTTGAAGCTACTCGGAGGCTGTACCGGTCTTAAAGGGCATCCAGCGCCGGCACTGTGGTCTGTCTATAGGATGTTCCCATGGTGTCAGCACTGCATCGGAGACCTTGGCGGTCACACCTTTAGCATCCCAGCCCGGGCTTCCATTCCTCAGTTGTGTCCTGGTCGGGTCTGTCTGTCAAGACGCCCTGTGGTACCCTGGCTCCCGATGACCCCCACCTCCTGTGTTCACCCTCTTATGTAGCCCTCCCCTTGAACATAGACTCATGTCTAATGAGTAGAATGTGGCAGCAGTAGTGGAAGTCACTTGTCACCTCTGAGACTAGGTGGAAACAGTCTGTGGGTTCCATCTGGAGCCTCTCACCTGCTCACCCCGAGGAAAGCCAGCTGCCGGGCTGAGATCTGCTCTAGGGAGAGTCCACGGGGCAAGGACCGAGGGAGTCTCCAGCCAGCAGCCCTCAGTCCACTGACCATGAGAGCTGAGTTCTGCCATGGCCACTGAGTGACACTGGAAGCAAAGCTTCCCCAGGAGAGCCTGCAGGTGAGACCGCAGCACTGGTCCACACGATTGCACACAGCTGAGCCATCCCAGATTCCAGACCCACAGAGACTATGAGATAAATCCTTATGCTTCGAAGCCTCTAAGTTTTGAGGTCATTTGATCTGTAGCAATAGATAATCAATACAGGTTGCAAAACTCCCTTCTCAAACCTACTCAAAGAGTTAGGGAATCTCTTATCTCATTAGGAATCCCGGTGGGACAGACTTCAGTGCTGAATCTGAGGCCTCGAGTTGCCATCAAGGCTTTCCCTAGATCATCTTTGGGGTTGGCTTCCTCCTCTGGCTGGTACCCCGGGCGCCATGGCTGTTCCCTGCATCCCATCCAGGCACCGGAAGTCTTGGGGAGGAAGAGAGACCATCTTTTCTAATAGTTTCATAGGAAAAGGGAACCTTTCCCAGAAACGCCCAGCTGCAGAGTTCCTCTCGTGTCTCATGGACCAGGGTTGGGTCTGGGGCTGACCCAGTCCCTGGGTGAGGATGGAATCCCCGGAGGTGAGTCAGGTACATCCTGACAGCTGGGGTGGGGTCAGCTTTCCCTGCGATTGTGGGAGTAGCTGGTCAGTACAGGAACTCTGCTCGCTGGGAAACGTGGAGTACGCACACTGCATCAACAGCCAGCAGTGTTCACCACACACGGGCTGTAGCCTGAGGTTTCCTTCCTGTGTCTGGAGAACATAAGATGCGTTGTGAGCAAGTGCAGAGGGATGATTGGGTGCCAGCAGTGACTCAAAGCAGTGTGACCACACACCTGAAAGTCAGAAATCACCAGGGCACCGTCCTCCTTCGGGGACAGTTT